GATCAAAATATTTAATATAAAGTCATTGAAAACGATAGTTTTGAGAATATGGTTAAAATCGTGAATGTGAGCCAGATGCTGAATGTACTGTGGAAGTGCGCTCTGACGAGGACAGCGATGGTAAAATCATCTGCTCAAATTGAACCCTTTTAAGTTTCAAAAGGTAACGAAATATGCCACACATTCAAATCCAAACTCAATACAAATACATACTGTACTCAAGCTTTTGGAAACTTTCCATACTGTACTATGTCACTGGAACTCTGTTCATACTTAGCATTGAAATATAAATTTTTAATGTAATTCTTTTTCAAATCAATTTACCATGCATATTAATTTAAATCAATAAATACAGTTGCATGCAGCAATTAATGGCATTTAAGCCCCATAAACCCATATTTTTCATGACATTAAGCATTTTAGATGACAGATAGGACAAAATGTCGACTGGACTAATGGTACAACAGCTTAATTTTTTGCCACCAAGTGGCCAAGTCCCTGCAAATTTGTATTAAGCCCTTACATATTTGTGACCCTGGACCACAAAACCAGTCTTAAGTCGCTTGGGTATATTTTTAGCAATAGCCAAAAATACATTGTATAGGTCAAAATTAAACATTTTTCTTTTATGCCAAAAATCATTAGGATATTAAGTAAAGATCATGTTCCATGAAGATATTTTGTAAATTCCTCACCGTAAATATATTAAAACTTGATTTTTGATTAGTAATATGCATTGCTAAGAACTTCATTTGGACAACTTTAAAGGTGATTTTCTCAGTATTTTGATTTTTTTTGCAACCTCAGATTCCAGATTTTCAAATAGTTGTATTTCGGCCAAATATTGTCCTATCCTAACAAACCATACCTCAATGGAAAGCTTATTTATTCAGCTTTCGGATGATGTATACATCTCAATTTCGAAAAATTTACCCTTATGACTGGTTTTGTGGTCCAGGGTCACAAATGGTTTCAGCTGACAAAAACGTTTGGGAATCCCTGTTTTTGAGTGATCTAAATTTAAAAAATCCCTGCTGTGTTTAAAATACAATATGACAAAAACAGCTCTGCCTTTAGCCAAATCTAGAAATTGTCCTTCTGTCAGCGAATGTTTTGGGGCCTGTTTCAGTCTGTCCTGGATGAGTGTCATCTTTATTAAGCCCAATTTATTCTTCTGCGTCGAACGTACGCCGTAGCCTACGCATAGACGCACACCCTACGCCATAGCCTGACGTGCACCTCTCCAAAAATCTAACAGCGCATCAATTCTACGCGCAGAGTGTTAGCAAGTACCAGAGTTTGAGATTACACTGCACAGCAGGACCAGCATGACTGGGTCACCTTGAGGCATGTCTGAACCATGGCCAGGCGGCAACACTTTCCACCCTCAGCAGAGCCACTTTGGCCTTTGTTGGCAGTTGGCAGGAGCAGAACGGAGTGAGAGATGATAGTGGTGCTCCATAGCAGCGATATGTGTGTGTGATGTGCTTGGAAGTAGGTATTAGGTTTGCTATGTAGCACGGATTACGGTTAAGTCTAACAAAACTGCAACAGAACGTCTTGTCTGGGTTAAGTATATGGAAATCTACATATTTTAAAATATCAATTTTCCTAGTCATCTAGATGTCTGAATGATTAGTAGGCTAATCATTCTTACAAAATCCCTGTATAATTAGAGTAGTCTGGTTTAAAGCACTTTTGTGTGTGTGTGTGTTCAAACACAACTGGATGGAGTGCAACAGAATGGAAAAAATTAACTATATTTATCTTGACGCATCTTTATGTATCTTGACATTATCTTTGAACCTAGTATCCTTCAGTCACTTAGTCCATTCACATGGTTTGATTAAGATGGTCACATGCAGATGCATGTGTGATAGTCATCTCCATATCAAGTAAGGAAGTGATGATATCTTATGTTGAATTGATAGCTGGAGAAAGAGATTTTTAGACAAATGGGTTGTTGTGTTTTTAAGAGTGATAAAGAGCTGGAAATGAATGTGTGTGTTTGTGCAGCAGCATACATAATTGTGCCCGTATGTGTGATTGAGAGGCTGACAAATAAAAAAAGCTGATATTCCTCTCAATGAGATTAAGATCTGATTCTGAAACTGATAGACAACAGAGAACATGTGCATCTCTGCATCACCTCCAGCACAGTGACAATGCGGGTTTCTGGTAAAAACCATCACTGCTGATGTATTGCAGGTTTAATGAGTCACTTCTTCACATTTGTGCACTTAATGGGCAGTTCCAGTAAAAAGCAAATTGCAAGGCAATGATTGTTGGTTTGAGCCTACAGTTTGTTTGCCTACAGGGCAGCATTGAAATCAATAGCAATTAATAAGGTGACAGAACTGTACATGACTCTGAAAGCGATGTGGTACATATGGGATGAATAGATGCAGTATAGGCATGATGCACAGTTCTTTTATATTGCACAGCATTTACTCATTTTGCACTGAATTGTTTTTAAATAATACAATTTTTATAACATATTGTCAATTGTTGTGTTTTATTTCCTTCACTGTCTCCGTTGACTCGCTCTGGTTCAGAAGAGTTCATCCCCGCCCCCTTTTCAACTGCTGCATTGGCAGTGACTCACTCACACCTGATGATGTCACATTTACTCAGTTGCCATAGCAGTTGTTATGGAAACAGGAGCCAAGGTTTCAGTGGCTGAGTTTTTCAGATCTAGAACTCAAGGCTGTGCATTACAATGATTTTGCCATACATAAGATGTGTTCTTATAGGCATAATGTGCAATGAGGTGCCCAAAACCCCTTTAGACATGTCCAAATTACTGTAGCACAGAGGTTCTCAAAGTGTGAGAAAACTTTGGCAGAAAAAGAAAAGAAATAAAACAGTAAACAAACAGCCAAAGGACGTAACTTAGAATGGGAGATGGATCAGTGTGTGAAAGGGAAGAGAAAAGCCATCGATGAAGTCGCACAGACCCAGATAGGTGCTGGTCACTCAAAAGCTAAATGCAGAAAATATGACGAGGAATATCTTGCTCTCGGCTTCACTCACCATAACCTACCAATACTAGGGGGTGCATAATCTGGCAGGGTGCAAATTTCGGCTCTACAACAGAAGCTATAAAGTTAGTTGTCGTGTCACACCACAGCAGCTCTACACTGGATGCGACAAAGCGACCGTTGCAAATCATTTTAACTGTGTGTCAGTACGTCATAAATAGAACAAGGCATCAGTTTAATGTCGGGGATTTGTTGTGTCGCGCCACACCGCGCCGCATCCAGTGTAAACAGCGTCACTGATTATAATGGGTTCTACTGTATTTTGCCGCTCGCTTCCGGTGTAGATAAGGTGTTAATTTCGTTGATAAGGAGGAAAGGCCTGTGTGTGTCCTATGCCTTAGCGGACAGCATGAAACAAAAAAAAAACAAATAACTAAATATGAAAAAACTACAGAGAGAATTAGAATAATAACAATTATTCTCTGTATGCTATTTTTCAATGTTTCAAGTGTTGCAGGTGTTTTTTCCGCTGTAGATTTTTTTAAATAAAAAAAACATTAATTTTTCATATTTATTTAAATTATTTGGTAGTCTGAGGTGAGATGGGGATTTGGGAAGAGGGGGGGTGCCAGATTTTTTTATAGGTTTAAAGGGGGGCGCGACCAAAAAAGTTTGAGAACCACTGCTGTAGCACATGGCTTTGAATGGATTATTGCATTTATAATATGGTAAGAACACTAATAAGATCAAAGACACTTATCTTGAATTATTTTTTATATTTATGAACAATTCTTCTTACAAGTAATATAGTTTTCAAATGCAAATAAAATGCAACTCACATTGTAATCATGCATAGTTAGGATAGCAATATTCAACTATTTTCAATTTCTACCTTTTTTTTATGTTTTGGCAAAATTGTACGATATCTTTTGTACATTTTCCTACAACATGCTCAAACCCCAGTGACAATTATGTTTTGGGTGGGCTAAAGATCTGACATTTTTATATGATTCACATCGAATGAAATCATACGAAATTGTGAAAATTGATATCTTTCTTTGTGAGATCAAGTTGGATATCACCATCCACCATGTTTATATTCAACATGATTAAGTCTTGGCTTGAAATGTTCTGCACTCTGCTGTTTTTAAGTGTCAAACTTTTGCAGTTTTCTGTTTATATTTTCAACCAGTTTTCTATTTTGCGTGAAACCTGTTTTCACATAGAACACATTTTTACATTCCACTGTGTTCATTTTGCCATCTCGCATCTTTTGCCTCAAGTATAAAACAGCCTCAAGGCACTCAAATAAAAAGAAGTTTATCTTGTAAAGATGTAATAATTATTTATTAGTCAGATCTCCCTACTGAATACCAACAAAGCTTTACAAGCTCCACCAATGTTGTTCATTAGAATGATTCTTTCACTTGTGGTGTTATGAAGAACATTTGTTCAGCATGGATCCCTGCTGACAATCAGTGGGAGACACATGACTACTTTGTTGTTCTCGGACATAATTTGATACTTGTGGGTGATGGATCTTCGACCTGCTGCCCCAGTTCTGCCCTCAGCAGCAGAGCCCACATATATTAGCACTGCTGTTTTATTGATGCACTGTCATTCCTGAGCTCTCCATCATAGCAGTAACACAACACAATACACTAGATCAGAGAGAGCTATTCTAACATAAAAAGGCTGATTACTGTTAACTGTTTATGCAATTATTCTGTATGACAAATAGCCTGACATGTCTTTGTTGTATCCGTGGAAGCTAAATAATAATATGTGAGGATCACTCAAGCTCGAATTTCGTTAATCCGCTTGAATCTTTTTATATAATTTTAGGGTGAATGAATGAATTTATTTTATTTATTTATTTATATTTTGCATTTACAGATTCATATATCAGCAGTCAGGCCATTTTGACAATTGGAAAAATATTGGTCATTAATGTAAGGCAACGTCAGTGTAAAGTGTAGAGTGGGTCATTTATCAGTGTCTTTGTCATTTCTGTTATAGTTGTGGGACATTGTCCTCGGAGTCTGGACTGTGCCCGGGAGCGACGGCACTTCTGCCAGCCCAGCTCTTCACACTGCGGCCCATGCCTAGACCCATTTGTGGAGAACAAACGGGGGAAGTGTGTGATCAGGAGACGAAATCGCCCTGGTGAGTACTGTCAACTTCAGACCGAGTTGTACCACCTAAATCGTACAGTGCCTTTCAGGAAAAGGAAACAGCGTTACTCATTTGAACCGCGCCACGCGGCACATTAATCCGCTTGGCTCAGAGTTCAAACGGCAGCACAGCTTGAGCTTACTACAGCAGATGCGTTTACTCGATATCGACTGATATGAAAAATTATTATTGATATTGACTGATATGAAAAATTATTATTGATATCGACTGATATGAAAATTTTATCGTGATAATTTTTTTAGCCATATAACCTAGCCCTAATTTCAAATCATGTTTCAATGTAATATTTAAGATCTGACATGAACTGTCCCATAAATGTTGTTTCTAATAATAAAATAGCCTAATAATTCAGGTTGGACCATGTGCATGCATAATCCCAAGCACGCGTCTCAGGACACTGACTTTCTGTTGGAACTGGAGCTTCTAATGCAGTGACGCAATGGCTTTACCAATTCGTGATTAGCTTTTTTTAATTAGAAAGTGAGACTTTTTCCGCAATATTGCGTGTTGCACTTTTTCTCATTCATAGTAATATTAGTAAACCATCTTGGTATATATAGTCTTTGGTCGTACACATGTTTCACAGGTGTTGGCAAATATCTTTGTAGCAGCATTGAAAAGAGTTTACAGTGATTTTGTCAGGCAGTTTCACACGTTGATCTGATACATACCATTTCAAAATGTATGGAAGCTTTTTCAGGGTTCCCCATCATACGCATTTGGACTGCAGTGGAAGACCTATTACTCCTTGCAACCCTCCAGTCTGGCTTCCCTCTCCCCCCTCTTCCACCCACACATTGCTGCAGATGCAACAGGAGGGAGGGAGTCTAATGAAATAATTCAGGCGGTCTCTTTCTACACTGCAGTGGAAGGGATTGGCAATTGCTGGTGTAAATCACTTAGCTTGAACCATACCAACAAGCAGCAGTTAGATGTAAATATCTTCAAGCATTTAATTTTCGTTTTCAGCTTGTAGCCAAAAAAAAAAGAAAGAAATGTTCATCTTGACTACAACCTTGAAGATTATTGATCAGTAATTTTCCAGTGCTGCCTTAGGAGGGCAGTGCTGTTGACACCTAATCGATACCATTCAACAGGCAGGAGTATGAACAGCGCCCTTTTCTTCTCTCGCTTTCTTTTGTACTGTTCATTTCGATTTAGAAGACCTTAGAGGCCTCACACATTTTTCACACAGCCTGCATTATTTCTTTTCTTTGTGACAGACATAGCTGCTTTTGTATATAGATAAATTTTTCTGTTTTTGTTACACTGATGCAAAGTTGCACATGAGTTTATTTATGCTGGCTTCTTTGGTTATTTGGCTAATTTGACCTGCCTGCTATTTTGTTGTTCTCTGGCTTATGCCAGATCTATTGGCTGTCATTTACTGTGAACATATTTTTTGCACATATGTATTTTTATTATTACCTATGGTTTCACATTAGTTCATGACTGATGAAGAAGTTTGCATCTTAATAAACGTATTACATTCTAAATGTAATACTTAAAACCGACTCAAACCACATGCAGAAGTATTTAATAGTTGGTGGCCTAAAAAACAATGTGTTAAACTGTTTTTATATACTTAAATATATTTTTAGAAATATTATTATTATTTATTAGAAATTGAACCAAAATTTCAATGTAAACTATATAAGTTAGTGTGAGCACATAAAACGTGAGCTTTGGCTTTACATAGCATGCGATCTACTCGTAGTGAGTACCAACTCACACTACTACTAGTGTGAGTTGGTACCTTGACAGAAATAACACAGTGTATGCCTGGTCTAACGGGATTAGTGTCTATTGGCGATTACATATCTCAAACATTCACTAAACAACATCGGATATTCACAATAACAACTACTGTACAAAGCGCTGAGAGGGAGAGCACGGCTGGAGCTGGTTCTGCATCAGTCCGTTGGAAGCAGCAACTGCAATATCGATCCGTCAGAAACCGCTGCTTTTTTTTTTTTCTGTTCCGAGTGGTCTTTTTGACAATGACAAATCAACAACAAAAAAGTTTAAATGAAGTCCGCAAACAGCAAAACAATAATCCTATAACAGTAACTGCATCATTTATTCATGCTGCAATGCATGCTGGGAACTTACAAAGCCTTAACATTTCCGCAATATGAAATTCTTTGTTCAGACAACTGTGTTTGACTAGTTGGGACAACATTTGGGATAATTCTGTTGGTCTGACAAGGGTTTTTATGTAGTTTCAAGAAAATGAGACCTATGATTGGCCACATAGAAAATTGAGTATTGATTTATTAATAAAAGTTCATTTGAGTTACTTGAGTTAATTTGCAGTTTTTTAAATGTATGTGTTACGTTATGTATTTAATTATGCAAGTATACAAATATAAAACATGCAAATTGCAATGCCGATTATCTAGTCTGGATAATGAAGCTTGCAAGGTCACTAGACAAAAATGTATCCCTTAAATCTGTAGTCCACAGCAAACAAAAGCTGTTTTCCACATTATTTGGAGCGGAAAATAAATAATGTGACACTAAATAAACTTAGCTCACTCTGGTAAAAATAGAACTTTCAGTGGCTGAATGGCCGAAGCATCTTTGTCTCTCTCACACATACACACACCCTCTCTCTGTCTCTCTCTCTCTCTTAAACGCTCTTATCTTTTTTTCTTGTCCCACTTGTGAAGTTTTTGCTCTTGGCGCTTTCTCAGTGGTTGCCGTGGTGATGGGTTTCATTCATGAATCTGAAGAGGCCCCTCCCCTGTTCTCTCCCTGCCCGCCTGTACGCCCCATTGCCCACATACGCATAGCAGCACCACACAACAGAACGACTGACCAAATCCACCTACGCTTACTGCAGTACACATACACACACAGAGATTCCGCAGTGCATATGCACTATTACACAAGCTCATAACACTTCAACATGCAAATTTTTGGTGTGTCATGATGAATAATTTTAAATGTTCATAAATATGTATAGCAGTATGGCATGCACATTCCACCCAATGCAATACAAACTATGCCAAGATATATGTCTTATTCCTTGGTGCATTATTATTTAACTGACCTTATCAGTTCCCACTTTAGATTTTCTATAACTGACCTGTTAGTTTTCTAGCTCAGAGTGACAGCTTTAACTCTAAGATAAAAGGCTATATGGATGCGGTTACATGCACATATATAGTACGATTTGCAAATACACTGAAACAAATATCACAATTTCCACACACAAAAAAAGGATAATGTTACACTGAAGACTGGAAATTCAGCTTTGTCATCACAGGAATAAATTACATTTTAAAATATATTAGAACTAGAAATTAGATATTTTAAAATGCAAAAATATTTCACAGTAATTCTGTTTTTTACTGTATTTTTGATTAAATAAATACAGCCTTGGTGAGCATACTTCTTTCAAATATAGTAGAAAATTACTGACCCCAGACTTTTGAACAGTAATGTAAGTGCTGCACATTTTCACTTATTCTCTCTCTTCATCCTTCCTCTCTCTTTCTCCTAACTTTCATGTTATTTCTCTGTCCCACTTTCTTGCCCAAGCAGTCAAGGTCAGCCATCTCCCAGAGCTGGATGAAGAGATAGACATTATCTCCTCCATCATCAGCAAACACAGAGAATCAGAGATGAAACACTCAGGTAAGGTAGCATGGGAATCCTGCCATTAAAGGGATAGTTCACCCAAAAATGAAATTGTCATCTTTTACTCTCGTTCCAAACCTGTATGACTCTTTCTTTCGTAAGACATAAAAGGAGAAAATCCTTATGTGCTCCTATTTTCCATATAATGACAGTGAACATGTCAAGTACATATTAAATGTGCACTGCAGTCTATTCAGGATTTCTGAAACCATACCACAGCTTTCTGTGAGAAGCAAATTTCAATATTTATATTTAAACTGACACACTGTTAATGTGAGAAATGTTTGTAGCTGATGATCATCTAAAGGCCCTATTTGGATTGAACATGAGTGAGAATGTGATTTGTTAACTGGCAGGGGAAGATTATGAGTAGATAAAGACTTTGGTTTTGCTGTGTTCCTTCAAAAAGCAATTGATAGCTTTGGACACAATGAATATGAAATTAAAAAGTTGTTTGGAAAAAAAAGGTGCATAATATTTTGAAATTAAAAAGTTGTATGGAAAAAAGGTGCATAATATTTCTACTCCATCAAAATTTGAAAACAGATAACAATATTTCTTATCCCACAGTCATTTAACAATTTAACACATGTAGGCCTATTATGAATATTGGAACACTGGAATATTAGAAATTATACATGCCCAACTTTCTTTTAAATAAGTGAAATGGAAAATATAACTTGACAGATAATAAAGAAACAAAATGAATACGCACCATTAATAAAACAATCTTAAAAGCTCTGAGTCTTATTTTATTGTGTATATTTTAAAATAGGTAGGTCAAAAAGAAATAATGTGAGGTCCCATGAACATTTGGCTATAATTTATCAGGTTAAATACATCAGCCTATTTTCTGACCAAAACTGACTCATGTATTATTTACATAATTATTCAAAACTCAGTGGCATGTCTTCTGTGTTTTGTTATCATGCAGGCAACGAAGTGATTCCAAGATTCCTGAGTCAGGAGCCACTTCGGATGAGGAAAATGAAGACGGAGACTTCACTGTGTATGAGTGCCCAGGACTTGCCCCAGTAAGAGCAATACTTTTCTATACGTTATTCTGAGTGTGGTGGATCACTTCTGTGTCTGTGTTCACGTATGAGAGAGATCTCCCCATAAATCTGTGTCATAAATCGCTGTCATAAATCACGACTCCTGTAGGTGTAATCGATGGTATTATATGTCACCCACTGTGCTACAGTTTGAAGTCTCCTGTAGTGCCATGGTGTTTGAAAGTATCTTTCTCTTTCCAGACCGGGGAAATGGAAGTGAAGAATCCACTGTTCGATGACTCCACCTTTCATCTTCACCTGCAGAGAAGTTACAACTAAACACGAGTTCTCAGAGGACACATCACTTCACGCATGCAATCACAATGGTGTGCTTTCCTCATCTGATCCATTCAGGCAAGGTCACAAAAGTCATCTGCACTTGCAGCATGGTTCGTGTGGACATTTGAGAGCATTTTTCTTTTGTGCTGTTAAATACAAGTTGACACTGGTGTTGCAGCTTCCATCCATGAACAGAAAACAGAATGCATTGCAACACTGACATAAATAATTCACTTTGTTAACATGTTGATTCACACATACACAAGCATCCTTTCTAAAGACCAGCCCGTTTGGACCAGGACCCTGCGCTGTAGTAGCTTTCAGTTTAACGGCAAATGTGTAAAAGCATTGCATGGATTTCTGACCAAGAGTTGCACCCATCCTGTATAATCATGCACAGTTCGTGTCTCTTTCTTTACGTCTTCTGGACCTGTTTGATAGTAACGTCCGCTATAAACATACTGTACGTAAGAGACTGGGCAACCTCGGTGCTCTCAAAAAGCTTGAACATGATCTGCTCTTGATACCAGCTCAAGACTCATTTAATATCAGGTCATTGCTGAGTTCTGTTAGGACATCTTCTGTATTGTGAATACTGTGCAATGGAAAGGAAACTTATTTATAGAATTAATTGTTTGAACATATCTTGCCTGCAAACACTAGTCATATTTAGAACGGACGTGGAAGTTGATGGACCTTGAGGAGCAACGTAAATGATACGATTAGCATATTTTATGGTTTCTTCTACCAAATTCGTCTGTGACTGTATTTTTTAAGATACCAATGGTGATTTTAATATTTTACATGAAGATATTAAGATATTATAATTACTGTAAAATGTTTATTGTGAAAAGCGTTATAAAACTTTAAGAAAATATCAAATAAAATAAAATAAAATAAATATAAAAGTCAGTTTGACCTTCTCCAAACCTGACATTGTAAGTTCTTGCTATTTAATATTTTGAGTTATTATTTTTAATATTTTAATACTGAAATAATGGCCTATTAAATAAACAATGACTTCATTTGATATTTTACGTAATTTCAACTTTTTACTTTATATAGTTAAATCAATCTTCATAATACAATTTTAAAACAGGGATTTTTTTTTACATTGTAGTTTTACAGTATAGCTGCTTTTATGACCATTAGTCAAAAAATAAAATAAAATAAAAATAAAATAAAGTTAAATTAAATTAAATTAAATTAACAACTATAACTGGACAGTATCACTATAGAAAGATTTTTGTTTAGGCTTCTTTGCTATTTATAACTAATAGCACAAACAGAATCAGTTTGTTTTATACTTATATTTTTCATTCCTGTTCTGTTTGGAATACCATTTATTATTAAATGATTATTTGTGGAATAAGTGGAACTAAAATACATATTTTATTGTGTTTATAATGTTTTGTTTACCAATATTTTACATTATTTCTGAACATTATAGTAAAAGGTGATTCATATGTTTTCTCTCAACAATGCAATATTGACCCAGTGCACATTATAGTAAGATGCAACTTATTAAAAAACAGTACATACTATGTATCTAATATGTACTTTGTTTTGTTTCGTACTGTGGATTGTGCGATAGGCACTCCCTCCGTTTCCTCGGAGAAAACGCCCCCTGACCGAACACCACGAACAAGATGCCTGACAGAAACAAATGCTGCAGCTGAAGAACTTCACAGTTGTGGAGCCACACAACCAGGAAGACGCTGTGCAATGGAAAGGAAACTTATTTATAGAATTAATTGTTTGAACATATCTTGCCTGCAAACACTAGTCATATTTAGAACGGATGTGGAAGTTGATGGACCTTGAGGAGCAACGTAAATTATACGATTAGCATATTTTATGGTTTCTTCTACCAAATTCGTCTGTGACTGTATTTTTTAAAATACCAATGGTGATTTTAATATTTTTTTATAATTGTGCTCACAAAAATAACCCTAAATGATATTATGTAGCCTCTGTATAATCAGAACGGTCCTACTATGCATGATAGTCAGTGTGCATTTCTGGTTAGAACAAAAACACATATGAAATTGAATTTTTTTTAACAAACCCAGCAAAAACAAAAAGGTCTGATTTGCATTGTAACACATTGTATATAGCTGCTATTGTGTACAGGCCAGGATTCTCCGATCTATGTGCGATAACCTCTATGCTAGATCACTAACGGTGACGTGATATAGTTTGATTCTGGAGCATGTGTCGCCCGCTGCAGTTTCTCAGGAAATCTGCCAACAGTAGCCAGTTTCTGTGCAGCATTTTCTGTAATTCCTGCAGGGGAGCTGTTCAGGTTCCTCTGGACCTTATTCCTTTGAATCTTCTAGTCAAAAACTGTGGCAGTGTCATCATTCTTTCGATGTTGCATTGAGGCAAAGCAAAGTCCTTAAAATTAGAAATGTGCCTCCTTTAACATCCTCTAATTGTTTTGTTAGACAGTCATTGTGGGGATGTTAACTCTGATATGACCTACACTTTTCAAAATAAGTCAGTTGAGCCCAATAAACCTTTTTCAGCTACTGAGATTGCCTGACATGCATGTAAAGATGGAATATATAAAGAGGAAATAAATATTTATATCGGCTCAAATAATAGTGTCCTGTTTTCATTGATCATAAACCTACCTGGTGTTTTGTGTGAAGACATTTACAGACAAACAACATGAGACGCTTACATGAGAAACATAAAAATGAGCCTTTTCCTAAGTATTTCCTAAGTATAAGGAAGTTCAGCCTGTAGAGACTGACACGAGACTTTATTAAATGATTTAATAACACATGCTGACTATGCGTTTGTGGGCAGTAACGTGCTAAAATGTTTAAAGCAATAGCTGTACTTGTTACAACACTCCGTCATCATTTGTACAAAATCTTGGCAACTTAATGTCAGTTACAGTATGAGTATATAGTATAAAGGTTGTTGTCATTTATCGGGTCGACAATAACAATCATGAATGGGCGATCAGATCTTTAAACTGGTAGTTTTCTCCTGGAGAAATCTATCCTAGAGTCTGGTCTTTCTATTCCCTCCTCATCTACATCAAAAGCGGCTTGATGTTTAACCTGAAAGAAAATCACAGAGTCCATTTCAAATCAAAGTGAATGTATATAGAATATGCTCTATGAATTTCACATTAATTTTCACAGAATTTTCATTTTTGGGTGAACTATCCCTTTAAGAAGTCACTTTTTATTTTAATTAGTAAAGTTTATTTCTTTACCTGTAACATGAACATCTTCTGAAATTCCTGTGAAGTTTTTATATTAAAAACAAACAAGCAAGCCCTGCCCAGATTTAAAAAGTAACTCAAAAGTAACGTAACGCATTACTTTCCATAAAAAGTAACTAAGTAACGTAATTAGTTACTCTTTTAGGGAGTAACGCAATATTGTAATGCATTTCTTTTAAAAGTAACTTTCCCCAACACTGTTCCTCCACCTTTCTATATCTCGTCGATTAATAACTTTTTCCAGCTTAGTGACTGAATTAACTGGGAGTGCTAGAAATAAGGAGTAGGAGTTGTTGTAGTCCAGAGAAAGGACTTCAGTGGAGATTAGCGTCATTAAGGATTTTGATGTAATCTTTTTGATTCATCATTTGAACTGGAACTGTGGTTTCAGCATCTACGTGGAATTCAGCCTCATGAGTAAATTTTGGGTCCAACGGCATAGTCCACTTTCCTGGAGAAAAAAATAAGAGTGGAGTTATTGACATTTGAAACCTGAAGAACAGAATGGCATTACTAGTACAGTTTGTGACTATAATGTGTACAGTTTGTTTACCTTTAAAATATATGTAAATAAGAAGGATCATGGTATTAGCATCCAGATATTCAACAACTTTATCTATTTTCTCATGTGTTTTTTCCCTGACATATGTGTTAATCTTGTCTAAAGTTGCAAAGAGGTGGAAATCCACAGGAAAGCCTTCTGGGAGTTTAAACTGCTTCATCTTCTCAGGGAACTCAGGAAGTGGTTTTGATTTGTTGCATACATAAAGAGCACTATGTACATCCATCTATGTCCACCCTTCTTTGGCTGATTTCTTCAGGAAAGTCTTTTGCACTTCAGTGTTGAAGACCGAGCTGTCATGACCGATGTCCATTGAGAAGCTGCTCTTTGGTTTCACCACCAGCTCCTATAAGACAATGCAGAAAAGGACCATGGACACACTCAGCGGAGAGAAAAAGATATTCTTGGACTGATATTCGGGCGTTGAGATAAGACTCCTGGAAAGCGAAATCATTTTTTCTCCATAACATTACTGTGAGTGTCAAAAGTTGGTAAAGAACCATCATCTCCGAGGACGATTGGGTGAACTATTACCAAAGCACAAGTAGTGTTGTCAAAAGACCCGGTATTTCGGTACCAAGTCGGTACTAAAAAAATGAAAACGTTACGGTACCAGGTTTTTTTTTAAGTACCGGTGGTACCGAGTACCCGGTCAACCCGGTTCTTGATGCGCTATCCAAAAGCTATCCTCTTCCAGTGTTGCCAAGTCCGCAGTTTTCCCGCGGAATTGGGCTGCTTTAACACTGTTGCCGCTCCACGGGTTGTTTTTCATGTCCGCGGGTTGAAAAACGACCCCATTAACGTGATATTTAGCCCCTGGAATGCGAATTTTACCAGGGGAACCACGCCAAAAAACTTGTATTTTATCCCCCAGAATGCAATTTTTATCGGGGGACCCCCCTCGAAAGATTGGGCTAGTTTTGAGCAGCAATTGGGCGGGTTTTGTTGTGAAAACCTGGCAACCTTCTTCTTAAAAGCAGTGGCGACCTCAAGAGGAAACGCATCAAACTAACAAAACGTCCATCAGATTGGAGTTCATAAGGGTGTTTACTTTGCAAGCAGACCATCTGACTGTTTGCTCCACTGAGATTTCGGATCCACACATCTCCACGAGTATATCGACATATACTGCAAGGGTGGTCTACATCAGTGTAAACAAATCAGCGCGTGCCTACAAACACTTCAGCCCATCCTCAGAGCTCAGCCCCCTCTTCCAAGACCCTATATGTTCCCAAAAGACTCCTTTAAACTCTTCTCCTCCGGAAACACCCCCCACACAAGCCCAATTCTTGAGTAAAAACGTGAACAGCAATTACTGATAAAGAACCACACACAAATGTATTTTTGTTTCCTATGAGCGAATACTGAGGTTATTCCAGTCAGAGGACATATTTCATGTCAATATCATCTGAGTAGTGTTGTCAAAAGACCCGGTATTTCGGTACCAAGTCGGTACTAAAAAAATGAAAACGTTACGGTACCAGGTTTTCTTAAGTACCGGTGGTACCGAGTACCCGGTCAACCCGGTTCTTGATGCGCTATCCGAAATCTATCCTTTTCCAGTGTTGCCAAGTCCGCGGTTTTCCCGCGGAATTGGGCTGCTTTAACACTGTTGCCGTGGGTTGTTTTTCATGTCCGCGGGTTGAAAAACGACCACATTAACGTGATATTTAGCACCTGGAATGCGAATTCTACCAGGGGAGCCCCGCCAAAACATGCGTATTTTATCCTCTGAACGTGATTTTTAACGGGGGACCCCCTCGAAACGCGATTGGGCGGGTTTTGTTGTGAAAACCTGGCAACCTCTTCTTAAAAGCAGTGGCGACCTCAAGAGGAGAAAACGCATCAAACTAACAAAACACCCCGATCAAGTTCAAGCAGGTAAGTTTCAATTACATTTTTAATATTTAGAGCTTCTGTTATGAATATTATTCCATATTTTAAT